TGTTAACTAAGGAAGCTGAGTGTTAACTAAGGAAGCTGAGTGTTAACTAAGGAAGCTGAGTGTTAACTAAGGAAGCTGAGTGTTAACTAAGGAAGCTGTGTGCTAACTAAGGAAGCTGTGTGTTAACTAAGGAAGCTGAGTGTTAACTACGGAAGCTGAGTGTTAACTAAGGAAGCTGAGCGTTAACTAAGGAAGCTGAGTGTTAACTAAGGAAGTTGAGTGTTAACTAAGGAAGCTGAGTGTTAGCTAAGGAAGCTGAGTGCTAACTAAGGAAGCTGAGTGTTAACTAAGGAAGCTGAGTGTTAACTAAGGAAGCTGAGTGTTAACTAAGGAAGCTGAGTGTTAACTTAGGAAGCTGAATGTTAACTAAGCAAGATGAGTGTTAACTATGGAAGCTGAGAGTTAACTAAGGAAGCTGAGTGTTAACTAAGGAAGCTGAGTGTTAACTAAGGAAGCTGAGTGTTAACTAAGGAAGCTGAGTGTTAACTAAGGAAGCTGAGTGTTAACTAAGGAAGCTGAGTGTTAACTAAGGAATCTGAGTGTTAACTGAGGAAGCTGAGTGTTAACTAAGGAAGCTGAGTGTTAACTATGGAAGCTGAGTGTTAACTAAGTAAGCTGAGTGTTAACTTAGGAAGATAAATGTTAACTAAGCAAGGTGATTGTTAACTTAGGAAGCTGAGTGTTAACTTAGGAAGCACTGATCTTAGCGACTCCTACTGACACACTGATCTTAGGGACTCCTACTGACACACTGATCTTAGCGACTCCTACTGACACACTGATCTTAGCGACTCTTACTGACACACTGATCTTAGCGACTCCTACTGACGCACTGATCGTAGCGACTCCTACTGACACACTGATCTTAGGGACTCCTACTGACACACTGATCTTAGCGACTCCTACTGACACACTGATCTTAGTGACTCCTACTGACACATTGATCTTAGCGACTCCTGCTGACACACTGATCTTAGCGACTCCTACTGACACACTGATCTTAGCGACTCCTACTGACACACTGATCTTGGCGATTCCTACTGACACACTGATCTTAGCGACTCCTACTGACACACTAATCTTAGCGACTCCTACTGACACACTGATCTTAGCGACTGCTACTGACGCACTGATCTAAGCGACTCCTACTGACGCACTGATCTTAGCTACTCCTACTGACGCACTAATCTTAGCGACTCCTACTGACGCACTGATCTTAGCGACTCCTACTGACACACTGATCTTAGCGACTCCTACTGACACATTGATCTTGGCGATTCCTACTGACACACTGATCTTAGCGACTCCTACTGACACACTAATCTTAGCGACTCCTACTGACACACTGATCTTAGCGACTCCTACTGACACACTGATCTTAGCGACTCCTACTGACACACTGATCTTAGCGACTCCTACTGACACACTGATCTTAGCGACTCCTACTGACACACTGATCTTAGCGACTCCTACTTACACACTGATCTTAGCGACTCCTACTGACACACTGATCTTAGCGACTCCTACTGACACACTGATCTTAGCGACTCCTACTGACACACTGATCTTAGCGACTCCTACTGACACACTGATCTTAGCGACTCCTACTGACACACTAATCTTAGCGACTCCTACTGACGCACTGATCTTAGCTACTCCTACTGACACACTGATCTTAGCGACTCCTACTGACACACTGATCTTAGCGACTCCTACTGACACATTGATCTTGGCGATTCCTACTGACACACTGATCTTAGCGACTCCTACTGACACACTAATCTTAGCGACTCCTACTGACACACTGATCTTAGCGACTCCTACTGACACACTGATCTTAGCGACTCCTACTGACAAACTGATCTTAGCGACTCCTACTGACACACTGATCTTAGCGACTCCTACTGACACACTGATCTTAGCGACTCCTACTGACACACTGATCTTAGCGACTCCTACTGACACACTGATCTTAGCGACTCCTACTGACACACTGATCTTAGCGACTCCTACTGACACACTGATCTTAGCGACTCCTACTGACACACTGATCTTAGCGAGTCCTACTGACACACTGATCTTAGCGACTCCTACTGACGCACTGATCTTAGCGACTCCTACTGACACACTGATCTTAGCGACTCCTACTGACACACTGATCTTAGCGACTCCCACTGACACACTGATCTTAGCGACTCCTACTGACACACTGATCTTAGCGACTCCCACTGACACACTGATCTTAGCGACTCCTACTGACGCACTGATCTTAGCGACTCCCACTGACACACTGATCTTAGCGACTCCTACTGACGCACTGATCTTAGCGACGCGCACCGTCTCTCAGATCTTCTGAAAAGTCATTAAGTGTTTATTCCCTAATTAACTAATCTCAGCCCATTTTAAAGAGATTCAAGTTATCTTGACAGGTTGTGAACATGTGAGGTGCAAGTTAATAAGCCTTTGAGAGGCTTGACGCTCAATTAATTAGCCAGCCAATTAAAGACAGCCTCAGAGAGCCAACGTTACATCCCTCTCTCTAATCTTGTTTTCTTGTATCTTCCATTCACTTATCCATTTTTGGTCCGTTATCAACAACGATAACCAAATATACTTCCGTTATTACCTTGCACTACCAACGTTGTATTATATTACCAGCATTATACACTACCAACTATATATTATATTACCAACATTATACACTACCAACTATATATTATATTACCAGCATTATACACTACCAACGTTATACACTACTAACATACACTACCAACATTATACACTACCAACATTATACACTACCAACATTATACACTACCAACATTATACACTGCCAACATTACACGCTACCAACATTATTCACTACCAACATTACACGCTACCAACATTATACACTACCAACATTATACACTACCAACATTACACACTACCAACATTATACACTACCAACATTATACACTACCAACATTATACACTACCAACATTACACACTACCAACATTACACACTACCAACATTACACACTGCCAACATTATACACTGCCAACATTATACACTACCAACATTACACACTACCAACATTACACACTACCAACATTATACACTACCAACATTATACACTACCAACATTATACACTACCAACATTATACACTACCAACATTATACACTACCAGCATTACACACTACCAACATTACACACTACCAACATTACACACTACCAACATTATACACTACCAACATTATACACTACCAACATTAACTACCAACTATCCACCACATTATACAACCACTACCCACAACATTACACACTACCAACATTACTTACACTACCAACATTATACACTACCAACATAATACACTACCAACATTATACACTACCACATTACACACTACCAACGTTATACACTACCAACATTATACACTACCAACATTAACACTACCAACATTATACACTACCAACATTATACACTACCAGCATTACACACTACAACATTACACACTACCAACATTATACACTACCACATTATACACTACCAACATTATACACTACAACATATACACTACCAACATTACACTACCAGCATTACACACTACCAACATTACACCTACCAACATTACACACTACCAACATTATACACTACCAACATTATACACTACCAACATTATACACTACCAACATTATACACTACCAGCATTACACACTACCAACGTTATACACTACCAACATTATACACTACCAACATTATACACTACCAACATTATACACTACCAACATTATACACTACCAAACACCAGCATTGCGCTATTCTGAGAAAAAACTTCCCCTCACTCCTTCAGTTGCAACCTTGCAACATTGCACAGCTCCCGATGACGCACTGACAAGTGTGAAAGTACTTGAGCTAAAGATTTCCATCCCTCCCCCCCCCCGGTGGTTTGTCCTGCATAGTTAACATCGCCCTTCTATGATTGTTTGCGATGTGTATATATATATATATATTATATATATTATATATATATATATATATATATATATATATATATATATATATATAATGCATAAGTATTCATCTGTACATATATATACTCAAAGATATATATTCACACTTATGCCTTTGAATATATACTTATATATATTCGTATGCACAAACATAGACAGAAATGCACAGTATATTTTTATACACTGGATGCTATGACCACCTTGCACTATTCCTTTTGCGTGTATTGAGGTAGAGGAACTGGGGTTATGGAATACAGGGATGTCTTGAGATCCACTTGCCTACACACTTGCTCGGTATCTAAGCACTTGGCATTCAAAACCAGCTTTACCCCCCCCCTCTCTCCAGCCTTTAATGAGACGAACCATACCCCATCTTCCCTCCACTCCAGTTTTATACGCTCTCAAAGTCATCCTATTCTGATCCATTCTCACTGAATATCCAGACCACCTCAACAACCCATCTTCAGCCATCTGGATAAATACTTTTACTAATTCCGCACCTCCTCCTAATCTCTAAGCTTCGAATTCTCTGCGTAATATTCACACCACACATTGCCCTCAGACATGATATCTCCACTTCCTCCAGCCTTCTCCTTGTTACAACATTCAATCATACTTCACACCCATGTATGAGCATTAATACCACTATACTCTCATACATTCCCCTTTTTGCCTCCACTGATAACATTCTTTGTTTCCATAGATGCCTCAATGCACCAGTCACCTCTTTTTGACACGTCCACTCCGAAATATCTGAACACATTCACTTCGTCCATATTCCTTCACTCCAATCTGATATCAAATATTTCATTGCCTGTTTTTTTTTTTATCTTCATCTGCCTACTCTTTCCTACGTTCGCTTTTAATATCCTTTTACATACCCTCCCAAATTCATCCACCATATCTCGTGAGTATCCAGATTCCACATCCATACACATACCTCTGTTTTTTTTCTCTCTCTCTCTTTCTCTCATTAACACTAGGCTATATTTTATCTCGTCAGACTCAGCGACATCAGTACGGCTGGTGACTGGGAGTGATGGCCTGGTGAGACTGGTGGAGGGTGTTCCTGGCACCATCACCTGTGTTGGGGAGGGTGCACGACCCCCAGCACGACTTCTATGGTGGAAGGATGGTCTTCCTTTCACATACCCTGCCCAGGTCAGTGCCCATCCTGCCCTGGGTCAATGCTCCCTCTGCCCCCAGGTCATAGGCCTTCTTGAACAGGTTAGCACCCTTCTTGAACAATTCAGTGTCTTATTTGTCCAGGTTTGTGGCCTCCCTGTCCAGGTCTGTTGCCTCCCTGTCCAGGTCTGTTGCCTTCCTGTCCAGGTCTGTGGCCTCCCTGTCCAGGTCTGTGGCCTCCCTGTCCAGGTGTGTAATACAAGCAACATCTAAGTATCTTTGTCGACTTTTGCCAACAGTGGCTATATAATGTTGGACAAAAGAACATAAACACCTGCCGATTGAACTGTCTAACTGTCGAATGACTAAATCAATTTAATTGCATTAGAGGACCACTTTTGCGTTGCCTTCCAAGACGATAATTCACCAGTTCACACCGCTAGAGTTGTATAAAATTGACATGAAGAACATAATAGGGAAGTCGAGCACTTAGATTGGCTCCACAACCTCCGGATCTAAATATTATCGAGCATCTGTGGGGTAAACTGGACCAGCAAGTCAGGAAGCGATTACCTACACCGTCGTCTTACAAAGAGTTTGAGTTTGCTTGAATGATGGCTCAAAATTTTCCTGGATACTGATCAGTTGCTATACGAATCAATTAATCGACGAACTGGTTCTGTTTTAGCTGCAAATAAAGAGCCATTTCCATTCTGAAAATAAAATATATTATAGAACAAGGTGTTCATGTTATTTTTGTCGTCCAGCTCCCTGTAATCTGACGACTGTAAAAATATATACAGTAGAGGTTATCAGTCCCTCCAGCCCAGGAGCAGGTGAGCACCGTAGTCATCTTCCACTGTCTGATATATATACTACTGCAGTCTTCAGGTTATATCTTAGTATTGTATTGATACTGTCACTGGATGGCGAAATACCTGTAAAATTAAAATGTCCACATGTTGCAGATGTGTGTTTAATTTATCATCTTGGAGGTACTGTATACCACTGATATGCAGCTTGTCAGACACAGCAACGACACAGAATCTTAATGTAGACTACATCACCACAGCCTATTTACTAACTCTTAGGGCATGACCTACTTCCACTGGGAAATCCCGTCTACTTGTGACAATACCTTCGTCTGCTGCACTTCATCTGACTCCAGTATACAAGCACCAGTCTTCTTGTCTGTGCTTCAGAGTCACGTCTACAGTGCTCATCACTTGCTCCTAGAATGAGAGACTGATTACTTCACTGTCTGATGTGTATATTTCTTCATTCTTCAGATTATGTCCATGTGTTTTATTATTAAAGTTACTGAACGGCGAAACATCTACAATTAAAAAGACAGATGTTATTCATGTGTCTAATTCCTCTCACAAACCTGCTGGATGCTCAAGCCCCTAAAACGCAAAGCTTATTTTACCTCGCTTCCTTCTAATATTCATCCTGCCTATGTTAGTGTTTTTCCTACCCAAGACAGCGTCCTCTGTGTTCAGGTCACTATGCTCCTTGCACAGGCAGTGCCCTCACTACCCAGGTCAGTGACTTCTCTGCATTGGAGAATGCCTTCTCTACACATGTCTGTGTCATCCCTGCCTAAATCAATGTCATCTGTGCCCAGTTCAGTGTCCTCGCTGCTTAAATCAAAGTCATCATCTGCCATGATCAGTCATTTCTGCTCTAGCTCAGTGCTCCTCAGCTCAGACAAGTATCCTCAGTGCCCAGGTTAGTGCCCTTACGCTTTTTCTAGCCACTATCCTCTGTATACCAATCATTCTCTTCCTATTAATGTAAATGTATATAGAGACTATATAAATTGGTGACTTGTCGTGAATTAAGCAATAAAAATACTGGCAAGCAAAACGAGTTTCGTGTCCCACGGGACGTCTCGCCAGCCGGAATTGTATGCTTGCCTAACGTATAGGCATGACCTAGCTCCACCTGTGGCTTTGTCCAATGTGATGCCGTCTACTGCTGCTTCACCTCACCTGTCTGCGGTATATAAGCTCCTTCCCTGCATATATACTGAACTCATATCAAGGTTGATAGACTGATCACATTGACTGTAGGCTGAAGGACTGATCACCTCAAACTCCTCATATTTCACCTTTCTCTACATTGGACTGAAGAAACCACGATGACCAAGTTTTGTATAAGTATCTAATTCATCATCCTGTCGGCTCTCTGAACCACTTATCTGCACCTCGGGTTGCATACTATCCGCCTGTATGCTAAATACGTATTTAATCATATTATGGACCATTCTTGTTTCATGTGATGCAACATATACTGTTTGTCTAAGTTTATAAGCTTGAAAGGAAAAGCAATTATAATGTAATTATAATTTAGAGAGCAAACAGCCAACTGCACATAAATTCATGCTACTATTGGGCAATAGTCTGAAATTACTTAGTTGACTTACATTCTTATAACTATAACCATAATTTTAAAAGGGTGGACCGGCAAGCCAGCTGAAAGTCTCGGTTATATGACCAAAAGCTCTAATGGAGGGTTATCATCTGACCAAGACCCGTGTCGGGAAACACTTGTCCTGTTTCCTAACGAACCTTACCTAACCTAACCTAACCTAACCTAACCTAACCTAACCTAACCTTAAGCACAATGTATAGGAGTATTATGTATCATCATTGGTGTATAATATGTATAAATTAAGAAGAATTTGACACATGTCCAACAACTGGGTATCTTTTTTAAGACGACGTATCGCCAGTCAGTGGCGATACACGTACAACACAGAGGACTGAAGAGGTGGAAGATGAGGTAATCAGTCCCTCGGCCCAAGAGCAGGTGTTCAGTTCTGTAGTCTAGAGGAATCTGAAGCACAGGTTATGTTAGGTAAAATCAGCCAGGAAACAAAACAAATGCTTCCTAACGAGCCACTGGAGCTTTTGGTCATTTGACCGAGGCCTTGTCCTGGCTTACCAGTCCACCTATTTAAAAAGTAATATGTGATAAATTTAGCGCAGGCTGGAAAAAATGGCGACAGATGAGATGCAGCATCTCATCTGACACTAGTATATAAATCCACTTCTTCCAGCCTGAGATGCAGACTCCAGATTACACTACTGACCACCTGGTTTTAGGATGAGGGTCGGATTACATTATCTTCTTTTAGGATGAAGGACGGATTACATTATCTTCTTTTAGGATGAAGGACGGATTACATTATCTTCTTTTAGGATGAAGGACGGATTACATTATCTTCTTTTAGGATGAAGGACGGATTACATTATCTTCTTTTAGGTTGAGGGAAGGATTATATTATCTTCTTTTAGGTTGAAGGACGGATTACATTATCTTCTTTTAGGATGAAGGACGGATTCCAGTATCTTTTAGGTTGAGGGTCAGATTACATTATCTTCTTTTAGGTTGAGGGTCAGATTACATTATCTTCTTTTAGTTTGAGGGGCGGATTACATTTCCTTCTATCTCTTTAGTCCTCTGTAATGTACTGATGAAGCAACTGGTTTCCAAAACTTGTACGTAATTAAGATACCCAGTTGAACATGTAACTAATTGTTCAATACATAAGAATATTTGCAGGGTACACAAAGTTACCTCAGGGTACAACATACTTGTGGAAAGACACCCACTAGTGGAAGTCGGTCAGGTACACTGGTTAGCCAGGTGAAGAATTCTCTGTATCAAGGGCTCAAGATATTTCTATGTCTGACAGAGTTTAAATGAAAGGTTTAGAAAATTGACAAGAGGTTGTACATCATACATGTAAGCATGATTACTCTCCCATTATCCCGTCCTCCAGAGGGCCATGTCTGACCCCTAACAGTGGGTGACATGGTCGGCGTCACACTAACCTTTATACCCTCTTAACTCCTGTTATACAAGGATAAAAACATTGATAGTATACAGTGCATAAAAAGGGTCTTGGTATATAAACTAATATAAAGGATATTACTAAAAGAACAATCATCTGGTAAACTTATGGAGAACAGAAAGAACATCCCAAAATTAATTGACCGTATACGCAGGCGTACAAGTCTGCCCCGTGTACAAGTCTTCCCCTAAAATCTGGAGGTGTTAATTCAGGTTTTAGGCCAATATTCGTCAGATAGATTGTCCTCTCTACAATTTCTACACCTTAATCATTCATTGAAAATTATCTTTGATACGGCAAATATAAAATCTGAAATTACTGAGGTAGATTTTTCGTTACATGACTTGTAAACGTGTTGATCAGCCGACCACAGTAGCAGACCTGTTCGAAAAGCCTAATAGCGTGTCGTTCCCGAGACGTTGGAGCCGACACGCTATTAGGTGACAATGTTTATGTCCGTGATAAGACGGACTCCATACTCCTCCTATATTAGGTTAGTGACGGGGATAGACTTAATATTTTCGTATATTATGTATTATTTTTAATAAAAACGTGACTAGACAACAAGAAACAGCAAATACAAAAATACAACTTGCACCTGAGACTCATGATACAGTACTAGCATCATGGCATCAGTTGGCTAGTGGCGTCACTTCCCACCCTCGGTAAAGTTCCCTGACCTTTTTTTCACCTCTGTCATATCTCAGCAACTTTTATACTCAGCCTATTAGTCGACCTCTACTTTTTACAAAGATATATTTTTGCTTAAAAGGTTTAAGTATACGCCTGCATATATGGTACTAATTTTTTTGCAAGCAAACTCTGTGGTGTTTAAACAGGTGAGACGAGGTAAGAGGTAAATAATGTCTGGTTTTTGAGAAGTGTGGGAAATGCGCAGCTGAACTAGTGTAGTAAGCAAGAAAAGTAATTTATTTACTTTTCTTATACGCTAGAAAGCTAATTCAAACATAAACCAGCAAAAGATGAGGCCACGTATTTACATTTAATCAGACTACGTCAAGGGGCTGCAGGAACCTCGTTTACAATGGTGCGCAAATAAATACTAGGACATATTTATTTGTTAATACATGTGTGGTTTTCTTACATTTTTATCGGTGTTAATTGCTATTTGTTACCTAAGAGCGAGAGAGAGAGAGAGAGAGAGAGAGAGAGAGAGAGAGGAAAGAGAATATCAGACAGAAAGAGAGGCAGAGGGAGACAGAGACAGAGGGAGAAACAGACAGATGGAGGCAGAGACAGACAGATTAATACACAGATAGCTGAATAAGTATTTCACGCTTTCATCCTACAGTGGTTATAAGTGTTATTATAATCAAAATTAATCGCTAACCCACAGGGGTTATACAGCGCTGCATAGTAATGGCTGTAATAAATCTGTTGTCAAAAAGTCAAAGAAGGAGTCTGTGTCAAATGTGGGGCCGTCAGCGAGGAGGGAAGATAGAG